ATCTTAAACTCTTAAACTCACAATAAATTAATAAACTCTAAACTTAAACTCTCTAAGACTCATTTAATCTTATAAACTCTAAACTCATAAACTCTCAATTCATAAACTCATACTCTTATAAACTCTCATAAAACTATTAAACTCATAAATGAATAAACTCTGGACACTTACTCAATTAAACTTATAAACTCTAAACTCATTAACTCTAAATTCACACCATAGCAACCAGTTACAGCACCCTAGCAACCGTAGGCCATACTAAATATTGCTGATTTCTTAGAAACTTGTAATGTACCACATTTGAAGAGGCTGACAGGCTCTGTAAGAAAATACCTCACAGTAGGGGAATAGTTGCACCCCTGGGGGGCAGGAGCTGCCCAAAATTGCCCCATTGACTTACATGAAATGGGCCGTCCTACACATTGCATTAGGATTTTATATTGAACATAGCTCTGGATCACAGTGTCATAGAGACAAGGGGGCGGGCTCATTTTACTCAGACGACCAATCAGTCTCTCAGGATTACTGTGAAGCTATCAAGCCACGCCCTAGCAACCATTTAGAGCACCTTAGCAACAACTCCCATAGACTTCCATTGAAAGAGATTGAAGGGATATCTCAGGATATAAGTGTCATATAAACATGAGGGTGGTCTCATTTGACTATGGGTAGCAAACAGCCAACCATGCATCACCTCAACAAATTCTGGCCACGCCCTAGCAACAATTAACGAGCACCTTAGCAACCAAATTCTAAAGAGGGATATCTTCCAATCTGAATGTCATAGAGTCATGAGAGTTGATTTATATCATTCATAGTGACAAGCAGCCTTTGGAGATTCATCACTGGCAGCTGCCAAGCCACTCCCTAGCAACTAAACAGAGTACCCTAGCAACCATTAAGCAAGATTTGTATCTCTGCATCAGAACAACGTATAGAGATGGGGGTTGGTTTAAATCATTCATACTGACAAGCAGCCTTTGGAGTTTCATGATTGGCAGCTGTCAAGTCAATCCCTAGCAACCAAAGAGAGGACCCTAACAACCATTTTTTAACAGCTATATCTCAGCATCAGAACATTGTATCGCGATGGGGGTTGGGTCTTTTGACTCAGGCTAGCACACAGGACTTTCAATATGCTAAACATGCTAGCTGTGAATAGCTAAATGCTAATATGGATACTTTATAGTAACCATATGTGAACACTACCAACCAAGTAGCAATACCATAGCAACCATCCAGAACACCTTAGCAACTACCTAGCAACACCCTAGCAACCACCAGATTACCCTAGCAACTGCCTAGCAACACCATAGCAACCACCCAGAACACCCTAGCAACCACCTAGCAATACACTAGCAACCACCAAGAACACCTTAGCAACTGCCTAGCAACACCCTAGCAACCACCAAGAACACCTAGCAACTGCCTAACAACACCCTAGCAACCACCCAGAACACCCTAGCAACACCATAGCAACCACCCAGAACACCCTAGCAACTGCCTAGGAACACCATAGCAACCACCCAGAATACCCTAGCAACCACCTAGCAACACCATAGCAACCATCCAGAACACCTTAGCAACTGCCTAGCAACACCCTAGCAACCACCAAGAACACCCTAGCAACTGCCTAACAACACCATAGCAACCACCCAGAACACCCTAGCAACCGCCTAGCAACACCATAGCAACCTCCCAGAACACCCTAGCAACCGCCTAGCAACACCATAGCAACCACCCAGAACACCGTAGCAACACCCTAGCAACCGCCAAGAACACCCTAAAAACCACCTAGCAACACCATAGCAACCACCCAGAATACCCTAGCATCTATCTATCTATCTATCTATCTATCTATCTATCTATCTATCTATCTATCTATCTATCTATCTATCTATCTATCTCTATCTGTCTCTTTCTAACTCTATCTATCTAACTATCTATCTCTCTAACTCTATCTATCTATCTATCTATCTATCTATCTATCTATCTATCTATCTCTCTAACTCTATCTGTCTCTTTCTAACTCTATCTATCTATCTATCTATCTATCTATCTATCTATCTATCTAACTCTATCTGTCTCTTTCTAACTCTATCTATCTAACTATCTATCTCTCTAACTCTATCTATCTATCTATCTATCTATCTATCTATCTATCTATCTATCTATCTATCTATCTATCTATCTATCTATCTATCTATCTATCTATCTATCGCTCTAACTCTATCTATCTATCTATCTATCTATCTATCTATCTATCTATCTATCTATCTATCTATCTATCTATCTATCTATCTATCTATCTATCTATCTATCTTTAAACTAAGTTAAACTTAATTTAAACTTTAGACTAATTTAAACTTCTTCAAACTACTTTAAACTTCTTCAAACTTTCTGTTCCAAACTTTCACAAGCCAACTTAAAGTTTGTCTCGACGAACTTTTTAATCTAGTTATTATTATTCTTCTTACTCAAAAATTTGCAACTCTATCTCCTCCTAGAGCTTTAACTCCACATACTCCAAACTCGGCACGGACACTCAAACTGTTCTGACTCGGTGTGCTATATCTTTTCTAACTGATCGGACTTACGGTTCTCCTAAAAATGACGATCAAAGTCGGAAAAAACTCCCATTGACTCCCATTGAGAAATTCAAACTGCCCAACTGTCAAAAATTCAAATCTAAATACCTTGAAGCCCCAGACTCAATCAAACTGTCATTCTATACACTATATGAGCCATTGAAACTCATTCAAACTAATGAACTCATCTATCTATGACACTTATCTATCTAATCTTAAACTCTTAAACTCAAACTAAATTAATAAACTCTAAACTTGAACTCTCTAAGACTCATTTAAACTTATAAACTCTAAACTCATAAACTCTAAATTCATAAACTCATACTCTTATAAACTCTCATAAAACTATTAAACTCATAAATGAATAAACTCTGGACACTTACTCAATTAAACCTAACCTAAAATCTAAACTCATAAACTCTAAATTCACACCATAGCAACCAGTTACAGCACCCTAGCAACCGTAGGCCATAGGCACGAGGCCGCAGGCCTCGTGCAATACTAAATATTGCTGATTTCTCAGAAACTTGTAATGTACCACATTTGAAGAGGCTGACAGGCTCTGTAAGAAAATACCTCACAGTGGGGGAATAGTTGCACCCCTGGGGGGCAGGAGCTGCCCAAAATTGCCCCATAGACTTATTATGGTGTACACATTGCATTAGGGTTTTATATTGAACATAGCTCTGGATCACAGTGTCATAGAGACAAGGGGGCGGGCTCATTTTACTCAGACGACCAATCAGTCTCTCAGGATCATTGTGAAGCTATCAAGCCACGCCCTAGCAACCATTTAGAGCACCTTAGCAACAAGTCCCATAGACTTCCATTGAAAGAGATTGAAGGGATATCTCCGGATAGAAGTGTCATAGAAACATGAGGGTGGTCTCATTTGACTATGGGTAGCAAACAGCCAACCATGAATCACCTCAACAATTTCTGGCCACGCCCTAGCAACAATTAACGAGCACCTTAGCAACCAAATTTTAAAGAGGGATATCTTCCACTCTGAATGTCACAGAGTCATGAGAGTTGATTTATATCATTCATAGTGACAAGCAGCATTTGGAGATTCATCACTGGCAGCTGACAAGCCACTCCCTAGCAACTAAACAGAGTACCCTAGCAACCATTAAGCAAGATTTATATCTCTGCATCAGAACAACATAGAGATGGGGATCGGTTTAAATCATTCATACTGACAAGCAGCCTTTGGAGTTTCATGATTGGCAGCTGTCAAGCCAATCCCTAGCAACCAAACAGAGTACCCTAGCAACCATTTTTTAACAGCTATATCTCAAAATCAGAAAATTGTATCGCGATGGGGGTTGGGTCTTTTGACTCATGCTAGCACACAGGACTTTCAATATGCTAAACATGCTAGCTGTGAATAGCTAAATGCTAATATGGATACTTTATAGTAACCATATGTGAACACTACCAACCAAGTAGCAATACCATAGCAACCACCCAGGACACCCTAGCAACCGCCTAGCAACACCATAGCAACCACCCAGAACACCCTAGCAACTGCCTAGCAACACCCTAGCAACCACCCAGAACACCCTAGCAACCGCCTAGCAACACCATAGCAACCTCTCAGAACACCCTAGCAACCGCCTAGCAACACCATAGCAACCACCCAGAACACCCTAGCAACCGCCTAGCAACACCCTAGCAACCACCAAAAACACCCTAACAACCACCTAGCAACACCATAGCAACCACCCAAAACACCCTAGCAACTGCCTAGCAACACCCTAGCAACCACCCAGAACACCCTAGCAACCGCCTAGCAACACCATAGCAACCACCCAGAACACCCTAGCAACCGCCTAGCAACACCATAGCAACCACCCAGAACACCCTAGCAACTGCCTAGCAACACCCTAGCAACCACCAAGAACACCCTAACAACCACCTAGCAACACCATAGCAACCACCCAGAATACCCTAGCATCTATCTATCTATCTATCTATCTATCTATCTATCTATCTATCTATCTATCTATCTATCTATCTATCTATCTATCTCTCTAACTCCATCTGTCTCTTTCTAACTCTATCTATCTCTCTAACTCTATCTATCTATCTATCTATCTATCTATCTATCTATCTATCTATCTATCTATCTATCTATCTATCTATCTATCTCTCTAACTCCATCTGTCTCTTTCTAACTCTATCTATCTATCTCTCTAACTCTATCTATCTATCTATCTATCTATCTATCTATCTATCTATCTATCTATCTATCTATCTATCTATCTATCTATCTATCTTTAAACTAAGTTAAACTTAATTTAAACTTTAGACTAATTTAAACTTCAAACTACTTTAAACTTCTTCAAACTACTTTAAACTTCTTCAAACTTTCTGTTCCAAACTTTCACAAGCCAACTTAAAGTTTGTCTCGACGAACTTTTTAATCTAGTTATTATTAGTGGTGCTTGCAAAGCAACACTATTGTTATCCTCCATACTTATTATTCTTATTATTCCGGACACTTCTTCGGCGCGCTACTCCTCCCGCAGCTTTCGTCACAGACCCATGAGAGTGGTGTCAAATCGACCGGCTCGTTTAGGAGAGGTGTGCTATGACTTTTCTAAGAGATCGGATGTACGATGTTCGCACAGCGGACGAAAAAGAGGCCAAAAAAAGGCCCATTGACTTACATTGAAAAATTTTCAAAAATTCAAATCCCAACTGTCACTTTCTCACAGACACAAAAGGTCCTGACAGCCCTGCTGTCAGGCAGACGTCTCTCTCTCCCTAGGAGGATTTAATTTATCAAGCAGCCAATGAGTAATGGCCTAAAATCTTCATAGCCACACCATAGCAACCAGTTACAGCATCCTAGCAACCGTGGGCAATAGGCACGAGGCCGCAGGCCTCGTGCCATACTAAATAACTCTATAAAAACTATAAAAACTCATTTTAGAGACTAAATAGTAATCATCTGTTAAAAAATACACGCCGACATCACAGACCCCTGATTGAGGCGTCAAATTTTGCGGATTATTGAGGAGAGGTGTGCTGTGACTTTTCGTAGCGATCGGGGGTACGGTGTTCGCCCCAGGGGCAAATCATTGGGTAAAAAAGTCCCATAGACTTTTAGTGTTTTTCCTACTATGGTAAATTGCATAGGGATTTTGTATTGAACATAGCTCTGGATCACAGTGTCATAGAGACAAGGGGGCGGGCTCATTTTACTCAGACGACCAATCAGTCTCTCAGCATCATTGTGAAGCTATTAAGCCACGCCCTAGCAACCATTTAGAGCACCTTAGCAACAACTCCCATAGACTTCCATTAAAAGAGATCAAAGGGATATCTCAGGATATAAGTGTCATAGAAACATGAGGGTGGGCTCGTTTGACTTGGGCCAGCAAACAGCCAATCATGAATCACCTCAACAATTTCTGGCCATGCCCTAGCAACCATTGTAGAGCACCTTAGCAACCAAAATCCAAAGAGGGATATCTTCCATTCTGAATGTCATAGAGGCATGGGACTTGGTTTATATCATTCATACTGACAAGCAGCCTTTGGAGTTTCATGATTGGCAGCTACCAAGCCACTCCCTAGCAACCAAACAGAGTACCCTAGCAACCATTTTGCAAGACTTTATCTCTGCATTAAAACATCGTATAGAGATGGGGGTTGGTTTATACATTCACATTGACTTTGGAGCTTCATGATTGGCAGCTGCCAAGCCAGTCCCTAACAACCAAACAGAGTACCCTAGCAACCATTTTGTAAGACCTACATCTCTGTATCAAAACATCGTATAGAGATGGGGGTTGGCTCTTTTTACTCATGCTAGCAAACATGACTTGCTACATGCTACACATGCTAGCAGTGAATAGCTACATGCTAATATTGATTAGCTAAGTGCTATATCATGCCATGAATGTTATAAAAACTCTATAGTAACCATATGTGAACACTGCCAACCACCTAGTAACACCATAGCAACCACCCAGAATACCATAGCAACCACCTAGCAACACCCTAGCAACCACCAAGAATACCCTAGCAACCACCTAGCAACACCCTAGCAACCACACAGAACACCCTAGCAACCGCCTAGCAACACCCTAGCAACCAACCAGAACACCTAGCAACACCCTAGCAACCACCCAGAACACCCTAGCAACCACCTACCAATACCCTAGCAACCATCTATAACACCCTAGCAACCACCCAGAACACCTAGCACCGCCTAGCAACACCCTGGCAACCGTATAGAACACCCTAGCAACCACCTAGCAACACCCTAGCAACCACCCAGAACACCCTAGCAACCACCTAGCAACACCCTGGCAACCATCTATAACACCCTAGCAACCACCTAGAAACCTTAGCAACCACCTAGCAACACCTAGCAACCACCCAGAACACCCTAGCAACCACCTAGCAACACCATAGCAACCACCCAGAACACACTAGCAACCGCCTAGCAACACCCTAGCAACCACACAGAACACCCTAGCAACCACCCAGAACACCCTAGCAACCACCCATAACACCCTAGCAACCGAGCGAGCTTTTTGCCACTGCAAGCACCACTTCACATTTTCGTCTGGAAATGTACATTCTAGTTATTATTATTATTCTTTTTCTGAGCGGAAAATTTTCTGACTCTATCTCCTCCTAGAGCTTTAACTCCACATACTCCAAACTCGGCACGGACACTCAAACTGTTCTGACTTAGTGTGCTATATCTTTTCTAACTGATCGGACTTACGGTTCTCCTAAAAATGACGATCAAAGTCGGAAAAAACTCCCATTGACTCCCATTGAGAAATTCAAACTGCCCAACTGTCAAAATTTCAAATCTAAATACCTTGAAGCCCCAGACTCAATCAAACTGCCATTCTATACACTATATGAGCCATTGAAACTCATTCAAACTAATGAACTCATCTATCTATGACACTTATCTATCTAATCTTAAACTCTTAAACTCAAAATAAATTAATAAACTCTAAACTTAAACTCTCTAAGACTCATTTAATCTTATAAACTCTAAACTCATAAACTCTCAATTCATAAACTCATACTCTTATAAACTCTCATAAAACTATTAAACTCATAAATGAATAAACTCTGGACACTTACTCAATTAAACTTATAAACTCTAAACTCATAAACTCTAAATTCACACCATAGCAACCAGTTACAGCACCCTAGCAACCGTAGGCCATAGGCACGAGGCCGCAGGCCTCGTGCCATACTAAATAGCGATGATTTCTCAGAAACTTGTAATGTACCACATTTGAAGAGGCTGACAGGCTCTGTAAGAAAATACCTCACAGTGGGGTAAAAGTTGCACCCCTGGGGGCAGGAGCTGCCCAAAATTGCCCCATTGACTTACTATGGTGTAGGACCCTACACATTGCATTAGGGTTTTATATTGAACATAGCTCTGGATCACAGTCTCGTAGAGACAAGGGGGCGGACTCATTTTACTCACACGACCAATCAGTCTCTCAGGATCATTGTGAAGCTATCAAGCCACGCCCTAGCAACCATTTAGAGCACCTTAGCAACAAGTCCCATAGACTTCCATTGAAAGAGATTGAAGGGATATCTCCAGAAAGAAGTGTCATAGAAATATGTGGGTGGTCTCTTTTGACTCCGGGTAGCAAAGTGCCAACCATGAATCACCTCAACAATTTCTGGCCACGCCCTAGCAACAATTAACGAGCACCTTAGCAACCAAATTTTAAAGAGGGATATCTTCCATTCTGAATGTCACAGAGTCATGAGAGTTGATTTATAGTGACAAGCAGCCTTTGGAGATTCATCGCTGGCAGCTGCCAAGCCACTCCCTAGCAACTAAACAGAGTACCCTAGCAACCATTAAGCAAGATTTATATCTCTGCATCAGAACAATGTATAGAGATGGGGGTTGGTTTAAATCATTCATACTGACAAGCAGCCTTTGGAGTTTCATGATTGGCAGCTGTCAAGTCAATCCCTAGCAACCAAAGAGAGGACCCTAGCAACCATTTTTTAACAGCTATATCTCAGCATCAGAACATTGTATCGCGATGGGGTTTGGGTCTTTTGACTCATGCTAGCACACAGGACTTTCAATATGCTAAACATGCTAGCTGTGAATAGCTAAATGCTAATATGGATACTTTATAGTAACCATATGTGAACACTACCAACCAAGTAGCAATACCATAGCAACCACCCAGGACACCCTAGCAACCGCCTAGCAACACCATAGCAACCTCCCAGAACACCCTAGCAACTGCCTAGCAACACCATAGCAACCACCCAGAACACCCTAGCAACCACCTAGCAACACCCTAGCAACCACCAGAACACCCTAGCAACTGCCTAGCAACACCCTAGCAACCACCAAGAACACCCTAGCAACTGCCTAACAACACCCTAGCAACCACCCAGAACACCCTAGCAACCGCCTAGCAACACCATAGCAACCACCCAGAACACCCTAGCAACCGCCTAGCAACACCATAGCAACCACCCAGAACACCCTAGCAACCACCTAGCAACACCATAGCAACCACCCAGAACACCTTAGCAACTGCCTAGCAACACCCTAGCAACCACCAAGAACACCCTAGCAACTGCCTAACAACACCATAGCAACCACCCAGAACACCCTAGCAACCGCCTAGCAACACCATAGCAACCACCCAGAACACCCTAGCAACCGCCTAGCAACACCATAGCAACCACCCAGAACACCGTAGCAACACCCTAGCAACCACCAAGAACACCCTAACAACCACCTAGCAACACCATAGCAACCACCCAGAATACCCTAGCATCTATCTATCTATCTATCTATCTCTCTAACTCTCTGTCTCTTTCTAACTCTATCTATCTAACTATCTATCTCTCTAACTCTATCTATCTATCTATCTATCTATCTATCTATCTATCTATCTATCTATCTATCTATCTATCTATCTATCTATCTATCTCTCTAACTCTATCTGTCTCTTTCTAACTCTCTATCTATCTATCTATCTATCTATCTAACTCTCTGTCTCTTCTACTCTATCTATCTAACTATCTATCTCTCTAACTCTATCTATCTATCTATCTATCTATCTATCTAACTCTATCTATCTCTTTCTAACTTAATTAGAAGTTAGAAATTAATCTCTTAATTCTAACTTAATCTTAATTTAAACTTTAGACTAATTTAAACTTCTTCAAACTACTTTAAACTTCTTCAAACTTTCTGTTCCAAACTTTCACAAGCCAACTTAAAGTTTGTCTCGACGAACTTTTTAATCTAGTTATTATTCTTTTTCTGAGCGGAAAATTTTCTGACTCTATCTCCTCCTAGAGTTTTAACTCCACATACTCCAAACTCGGCACGGACACTCAAACTGTTCTGACTTAGTGTGCTATATCTTTTCTAACTGATCGGACTTACGGTTCTCCTAAAAATGACGATCAAAGTCGGAAAAAACTCCCATTGACTCCCATTGAGAAATTCAAACTGCCCAACTGTCAAAATTTCAAATCTAAATACCTTGAAGCCCCAGACTCAATCAAACTGTCATTCTATACACTATATGAGCCATTGAAACTCATTCAAACTAATGAACTCATCAATCTATGACACTTATCTATCTAATCTTAAACTCTTAAACTCACAATAAATTAATAAACTCTAAACTTAAACTCTCTAAGACTCATTTAATCTTATAAACTCTAAACTCATAAACTCTCAATTCATAAACTCATACTCTTATAAACTCTCATAAAACTATTAAACTCATAAATGAATCAACTCTGGACACTTACTCAATTAAACTTATAAACTCTAAACTCATTAACTCTAAATTCACACCATAGCAACCAGTTACAGCACCCTAGCAACCGTAGGCCATAGGCACGAGGCCGCAGGCCTCGTGCAATACTAAATATTGCTGATTTCTTAGAAACTTGTAATGTACCAAATTAGAAGAGGCTGACAGGCTCTGTAAGAAAATACCTCACAGTGGGGGAATAGTTGCACCCCTGGGGGGCAGGAGCTGCCCAAAATTGCCCCATAGACTTACATGAAATGGGCCATCCTAAACATTGCATTAGGGTTTTATATTGAACATAGCTCTGGATCACAGTGTCATAGAGACAAGGGGGCGGGCTCATTTTACTCAGACGACCAATCAGTCTCTCAGGATCATTGTGAAGCTATCAAGCCACGCCCTAGCAACTATTTAAAGCACCTTAGCAACATATCCCATAGACTTCCATTGAAAGAGATTGAAGGGATATCTCCGGATAGAAGTGTCATAGAAACATGAGGGTGGTCTCATTTGACTATGGGTAGCAAACAGCCAACCATGCATCACCTCAACAAATTCTGGCCACGCCCTAGCAACAATTAACGAGCACCTTAGCAACCAAATTTTAAAGAGGGATATCTTCCATTCTGAATGTCACAGAGTCATGAGAGTTGATTTATATCATTTATAGTGACAAGCAGCCTTTGGAGATTCATCGCTGCCAGCTGCCAAGCCACTCCCTAGCAACTAAACAGAGTACCCTAGCAACCATTAAGCAAGATTTATATCTCTGCATCAGAACAATGTATAGAGATGGGGATCGGTTTAAATCATTCATACTGACAAGCAGCCTTTGGAGTTTCATGATTGGCAGCTGTCAAGCCAATCCCTAGCAACCAAAAAGAGGACCCTAGCAACCATTTTTTAACAGCTATATCTCAGAATCAGAACATTGTATCGCGATGGGGGTTGGGTCTTTTGACTCATGCTAGCACACAGGACTTTCAATATGCTAAACATGCTAGCTGTGAATAGCTAAATGCTAATATGAATACTTTATAGTAACCATATGTGAACACTACCAACCAAGTAGCAATACCATAGCAACCACCCAGGACACCCTAGCAACCACCTAGCAACACCATAGCAACCACCCAGAATACCCTAGCAACCACCTAGCAACACCATAGCAACCATCCAGAACACCTTAGCAACTACCTAGCAACACCCTAGCAACCACCAGATCACCCTAGCAACTGCCTAGCAACACCATAGCAACCACACAGAACACCCTAGCAACCACCTACCAACACCCTAGCAACGACCAAGAACACCTTAGCAACTGCCTAGCAACACCCTAGCAACCACCAAGAACACCCTAGCAACTGCCTAACAACACCATAGCAACCACCCAGAACACCCTAGCAACCGCCTAGCAACACCATAGCAACCACCCAGAACACCCTAGCAACCACCTAGCAACCACCTAGCAACACCATAGCAACCACCCAGAATACCCTAGCAACTGCCTAGCAACACCATAGCAACCACCCAGAACACCCTAGCAACCGCCTAGCAACACCCTAGCAACCACCAAGAACACCCTAGCAACTGCCTAGCAACACCATAGCAACCACAATAGTAACTCTATCTATCTATCTATCTATCTATCTATCTATCTATCTATCTATCTATCTATCTATCTATCTATCTATCTATCTATCTATCTATCTTTAAACTAAGTTAAACTTAATTTAAACTTTAGACTAATTTAAACTTCAAACTACTTTAAACTTCTTCAAACTTTCTGTTCCAAACTTTCACAAGCCAACTTAAAGTTTGTCTCGACGAACTTTTTAATCTAGTTATTAAGTTGGCTTGTGAGAGCCAACTTACTGAAATTCTATTTAAACTTATTATTATTATTATTAAGTTGGCTTGTGAGAGCCAACTTACTGAAATTCTATTTAAACTTATTATTATTATTATTATTATTCTTCTTACTCAGGAAATTTACAACTCTATCTCCTCCTAGAGCTTTAACTCCACATACTCCAAACTCGGCACGGACACTCAAACTGTTCTGACTCGCGTTGCTATATCTTTTCTAACTGATCGGACTTACGGTTCTCCTAAAAATGACGATCAAAGTCGGAAAAAACTCCCATTGACTTAACATTGTGGAATCTTCAGCTGTTCAAACTGCCCAACTGTCAAAATTCAAATCTAAATACCTTGAAGCCCCAGACTCAATCAAACTGTCATTCTATACACTATATGAGCCATTGAAACTCATTTAAACTAATGAACTCATCTATCTATGACACTTATCTATCTAATCTTAAACTCTTAAACTCACAATAAATTAATAAACTCTAAACTTAAACTCTCTTAGACTCATTTAAACTTATAAACTCTAAACTCATAAACTCTAAATTCATAAACTCATACTCTTATAAACTCTCATAAAACTATTAAACTCATAAATGAATAAACTCTGGACACTTACTCAATTAAACTTATAAACTCTAAACTCATAAACTCTAAATTCACACCATAGCAACCAGTTACAGCACCCTAGCAACCGTAGGCCATAGGCACGAGGCCGCAGGCCTCGTGCAATACTAAATATTGCTGATTTCTTAGAAACTTGTAATGTACCACATTTGAAGAGGCTGACAGGCTCTGTAAGAAAATACCTCACAGTGGGGGAATAGTTGCACCCCTGGGGGGCAGGAGCGGCCCAAAATTGCCCCATTGACTTACATGAAATGGGCCGTCCTACACATTGCATTAGGGTTTTATATTGAACATAGCTCTGGATCACAGTGTCATAGAGACAAAGGGGCGGGCTCATTTTACTCATACGACCAATCAGTCTCTCAGGATCATTGTGTAGCTATCAAGCCACGCCCTAGCAACCATTTAGAGCACCTTAGCAACAACTCCAATAGACTTCCATTGAAAAAGATTGAAGGGATATCTCCGGATAGAAGTGTCATAGAAATATGTGGGTGGTCTCGTTTGACTCCGGGTAGCAAAGAGCCAACCATGAATCACCTCAACAATTTCTGGCCACGCCCTAGCAACAATTAACGAGCACCTTAGCAACCAAATTTTAAAGAGGGATATCTTCCATTCTGAATGTCACAGAGTCATGAGAGTTGATTTATAGTGACAAGCAGCCTTTGGAGATTCATCGCTGGCAGCTGCCAAGCCACTCCCTAGCAACTAAACAGAGTACCCTAGCAACCATTAAGCAAGATTTATATCTCTGCATCAGAACAATGTATAGAGATGGGGGTTGGTTTAAATCATTCATACTGACAAGCAGCCTTTGGAGTTTCATGATTGGCAGCTGTCAAGTCAATCCCTAGCAACCAAAGAGAGGACCCTAGCAACCATTTTTTAACAGCTATATCTCAGCATCAGAACATTGTATCGCGATGGGGGTTGGGTCTTTTGACTCATGCTAGCACACAGGACTTTCAATATGCTAAACATGCTAGCTGTGAATAGCTAAATGCTAATATGGATACTTTATAGTAACCATATGTGAACACTACCAACCAAGTAGCAATACCATAGCAACCACCCAGGACACCCTAGCAACCACCTAGCAACACCATAGCAACCACCCAGAATACCCTAGCAACCACCTAGCAACACCATAGCAACCATCCAGAACACCTTAGCAACTACCTACAACACCCTAGCAACCACCAGATAACCCTAGCAACTGCCTAACAACACCATAGCAACCACCCAGAACACCCTAGCAACTGCCTAGCAACACCCTAGCAACCACCAAGAACACCCTAACAACCACCTAGCAACACCATAGCAACCACCCAGAATACCCTAGCATTTATCGATCTATCTATCTATCTATCTATCTATCTATCTATCTATCTATCTATCTATCTATCTATCTATCTATCTATCTAACTCTATCTATCTATCTATGTATATATCTATGTATCTATCTATCTATGTATCTATCTATGTATCTATGTATCTATCTCTCTAACTATCTGTCTCTTTCTAACTCTATCTATCTATCTATCTATCTATCTATCTATCTATCTATCTATCTATCTATCTATCTATCTATCTATCTAAGTTAAACTTAATTTAAACTTTAGACTAATTTAAACTTCAAACTACTTTAAACTTCTTCAAACTACTTTAAACTTCTTCAAACTTTCTGTTCCAAACTTTCACAAGCCAACTTAAAGTTTGTCTCGACGAACTTTTTAATCTAGTTAAGTTGGCTTGTGAGAGCCAACTTACTGAAATTCTATTTAAACTTATTATTATTATTATTATTATTATTCTTTTTCTGAGACTAAAATTTCCAACTCTAACTCCTCCTAGAGCTTTAACTCCACATACTCCAAACTCGGCACGGACACTCAAACTGTTCTGACTCGCGTTGCTATATCTTTTCTAACTGATCGGACTTACGGTTCTCCTAAAAATGACGATCAAAGTCGGAAAAAACTCCCATTGACTCCCATTGAGAAATTCAAACTGCCCAACTGTCAAAAATTCAAATCTAAATACCTTGAAGCCCCAGACTCAATCAAACTGTCATTCTATACACTATATGAGCCATTGAAACTCATTCAAACTAATGAACTCATCTATCTATGACACTTATCTATC